TGCGGAGTCGTAACGAGCACTGAGACTGTATACGTTATACACGATCTCTATTTAGAGAAAGTAATAGACGCGTATAGGCCGAAGCTGTAAGAGATACGACTGTAGCTCGAGACTATTAGGAAGTAATTCAAATCAATTTTTTATATATGTGTAATGTGTATTATACGTGTGTGTGTCGTTTGACCAAGAGAGATGAAAAAATACGCGGCGAGAGAAATATGCAGAGATACAAGACGTTACCAAGAAGATACGGTGTACTGCTGGAGTTTTCGATTGTTAAACAATTATTAATTACTATTGTTGACTTTTGATGATAATTTATCAAAGAAATAATAACGTTTAAAGCTCAGTGGGACTCTGCAACGAAGCGTAACAAGCACATACCAGTACCGTCATTGAACGTTTTTCATAAACGTTATTCATGTGAAAATTGTCATTTATACGCTTATTTTTACATATAAAATTGTTTAAACAATTCTATAGGCACGTTTTTCGGCAAATTCCGATTCAGCGGTCAATTTTACATGAAAGTGTACAGAAAACAATCGAGTAAGGCATTTTTTTGAGCATCGCAAATAATATTGGTAGATCTTTATTAAATGAAAATATTTTAATGATATTTCATTTCTTTCTGAAGCAAAAAAAAAATTAAAATTTCAAAGTTAAATGAAATAAAAACAAGAAAATTTATAAATCAAATAAGTAACCATAAAAAAAGTCAAATAAGTAAAAAACAAAAAAAATTCAAACACATGAATCAATAGTCAAAACAAAAAACCAAACTAGTAGCTAAAAAATCAAGAAACAAGAAAAAAACTGAGAAAATCCCAACTCAAGCATCGATATTTCACATTTGGTGCAATTATGCTCGAAAAAACTACTCTGATTTTATAAGAGTAAGCACACGTTCATTATGTGACACGTTTCGAAGCATATAGCGTGCCGCAAAACAAAACAAGTCAACGTCAAGTTTGGAAGTATCAACTTTTTTTTATTACCGATGATATTCAAAAGCGTCTATAGAAAACTGTGCTTTTTTATTATAAAAACCAATGTCTTACCGTCGCTGGACACATGTTCGTTACAAATATGCAATTATGCTTAGTTTCTTTGCCGCTGAGTGGCGCTGATTCGAGGCAATGCTGTTCTCGCAAGAGAAAAAGTCAAGCCGTTGGCATATAAGCATATAAGCTCGTAGGGTGAATATCTTTTTATTCATTTAATTATATTTTGTTTAAACTGAACATTCGTCTTTGCATGAATGAACTAAAAAATAAGATCAGAGGCACGAAAATAAATGAAACTCATTACAGATGGATGAGAATCGAACGAGCTGTCGATGATCTCAAAAACTCGATACTTCGTGAGAAAACTATCCACTCGGTAAAAATCGTGTACTTAAAAGTATCGCATGAATTATCGGATTCTCAAAAAGAAAGTATCGAGCACTTGTTCGAGCCGGCCCCTAGTCTCGTTGTGTGACATTGAAATAATTTTCGCGTTATTTTGTATCCAGTAACGATCGTCGTGTTTTGAGGGACTTTTACTTTGCAAGAATCTTTGCGCTCGCAAACGGACGACTCGTCGTTGGCGTTGGATTCTTTGCAGCCATAATTAATTGATTCCGAAATATTTCTTGTTGAATTTATAACTGCGTGATAAGCACCAGCCCTGATATAAAACATATCTCCTTTTTTTGTATCACGATGCTATAAGTTATTTCTCATTCGTCTCATAAACGTTGAGTTATGAAATACGTCTTATGCTTCATTATTTGAGAGCATTTGGTCAATCTTTTTTTCTTTAAAGCGTCAAAAACTTTATTTTTAAATGCAGCTCTGTTACTTTTGGAAATAATTATTCAAATTTTAACCCCACCTTTCAGTATATTTATACTCCTCAGATCTCCATCTTCTTCATGCATTGGAGTATAGTTATTCTCCATTCCAATATAATGCATGGATATGTTAATTCCTGGCATCCTTTTCACTCCTATGTTATTTAAACTTATGTTCGAATTTATATTTCCTAAAATATCGCTGGATTCCAATGTTGGATCTTCAATATCCCGGTTATAAAATTTTCGAGTTTGATGATTCGTAAAAAATTCATTCATTACGAGTGCAGTGAACTTCCATTCGTAATTTTTTTCGGGTATTACTGGTGGTTCATTAAAAACCTTAATTGCAGATTTAGGTATTTTCTGCAACTGCCTTTGACTCGGCTCTTGACTAATGTTCTTAAATATTCCTTCATCTACCTTCTCTAATTATTCAACGTTACAGCCTTCTTCAATTTCCTTTTGATAATGGCCATACGCTATTTCTGGAAACTTCTCAACATTTTGAAGTACTAATATTGAGTATATTAGGTATTTGGTTGGATCATTTTTATAATCGATAATCGAACCAGTTGACAATGATCTCAAAAACTTGATTTTTCGTTATAAAAACTATCGCAACGGTAAGAATCATGTACTTAATAGTATCGCTCAAATTATCGGATTCTCAATAAGAAAGTTTCGATTTAAATTTCGAAACGATTGCTGCGCACTGCGACGCTTGCATTGCAGTAGTTCTCGCGCAGTCGCAGTTGATCCAATTTTTTTTTGGTGAAAGTAGCTTACGTAAGTACGCAACCACAGCTCTATAGTACATAGCGTCACACGTATCTCAGTCGTGTTTTTTCTCTCCCGGTGTGCGTTCGTTGGTGCCGGCTCCGACACTGTCAATTATACGACCACTTGATCGTACAGTCGAGCCACGTGTTTTTTACTCGTTTCATAAAGTGTGCAACATACGTATCGTCGTGCTTCAGTGCACATTACGACGTCGCAGCGACTGCAATAAGTGATTTAAAAGTAAAAAGTATCCGTGAAAATCTGTGCGTGTGGGAAAACGCGAAAAACGATGTTTACGCTCAAGGACCAACAAATGTTAGAAAAATTGATAGACTTACGGAAAGAAGTTAATTTGAACAACGAAGAAGAGCGATATAATTATCTTTGTAACTTCTATAGAATAATTCATAATATGAATGCATTTCCTACCAATTTGGTTGAGCTCTTGTTGCACCCGAAAGAGATCGAATGTCTTCTCTGGGACTCCATGAATTACAAGGACAAAGAGCTTGGTTATGAACCAGGCGACCAATTCATTGTGTACGCTAGCGTGTGCTACAAATACAAGCCCGAAGTTGATGAGAATGGAATTATATCGCCACGTCGCACGACATTAATACACCATGCGGTTAAAAACACCAAACAAATCGGCCGTGACTGGAGACAACTGTTCATTGCCCTTTTTGATATATGCGGCAGGTTTGATGTGAATTACACCGACGAGTCAGGCTACACACACTTTCACGCGGCCTGTCGGTTTAACTGCAGCAGAGTCGTCCAAGGATTCCTCGAGCACGGACAAGATCCCAATTGTATCTGGCCAGAAACGGGTGATTCAGCACTACACATTGCTTTAAAATACGCAGGATTGGGCAGTGATATAATGGAGATACTGCTGAGAGGAGGAGCCAATCCTAATGTAGCCAACGACGAGGGATCAACTCCTTTGCATATTATTTGTCAAAGAGATATATATCGTTGCGATGAATTTGTGAAATTTTTTTTCAAAATCAATGGCGAATTGAATCAGCTGGTTCAGATTAACGCGCGTGATAAGTTGGGCGATACACCGCTTCACGTGGCTTTGGAGAAAGGCCAACCGGAAGTGTTCGAGGTGCTGCTAAGAAACGGAGCCAGTCCTAATTTAGCCAACGACGAGGGATTAACTCCTTTGCATATTATTTCCAAGAAAGACAACGATGACGGCTTGATGGAGAGATTTTTTGAGGTAATTGGTGACGTCCAGAAGACGGTGAAGGTCGATGCCCGCGATAAATTGGGTAGGACACCCCTTCAATTGGCAGCGATGCACTGCTTGCCCTACGCAGTCGAGAGTTTGCTGAATCATGGCGCCGATCAGTCCAACTTCGTATTTCCCACTATTAGTCAATTAGACGAGTGCTTCGAGTCCTACGAAGATATTCGAGGTAAATTTCTATTCGCATCTGGCTTTCTAGCCGTCGTCGAGTGCCTAGAGAAAAGAGGATACGAGCTGGAATCAAGAGACGCCCTGATGATTATGATATTATTCCAGCATCACTATTTGTTCCAGGAGTCATGGACTCTTGACGAACTTTTGTGGTACGACGACGACGAGGAGCTTGCAAACGAAGCGAGACAGAAAATGTTGAAGTCGGACTTGTCGCTCTACGATCTAATCCATTTACGGCCCCAAGAGGCAGCTAAGCGACTGACGTACATAGACTACTACGAGTTTGCGAGACAGAAAAATGTATGGTGGATCCGTTCCAAAATGCCAGCAGCAAAACACGCTCGTTTCGGGCACTTGTGCGAGACGATGTCGAGAAAATTTTTCCGGAGTTGGGCGCTGGATCCCTTCTGGAAATTAATACACTATCGGCTGCCCCTTGAGTGCTGTGAATTAATTCTTGACGAGCTGATGAACCAAGATTTATTTAACATTTTCGTGGCGGGTGGATTTGAAAGGAAATGTAATATCGAATATGTAATAAGACTCATTGGAAGGGCTGGAAGGGCTCGAAAAAGGGTAAAAATTGAATGGTGAAATAATCAATGTAAAAAGAGAGAAAAATATGATGATGTGTAGGATATTTGCTTGGCGGTGGCAGGCCAAAGCTCGTAACGTTAATAAGCATATTTTCAATTTTTGTGTTATGTATATTTTCATTCAGCTGTGTAGATTTTTCATGTAATTCAAATAAATGAATCTATAAAAAACCCCAGTTATTATCTCAAATGTTGTTTTCATTATTACGGCACAATAGGCCAAAGTTATTTATACGCGTACATCGAAAATATAAATATTAAAAAAAAAAAATTATATCATAGTGCAGTTGAAAAATTACTCGCACATCCCTATTTAAGGGCAAGACTTTATACACGGGTACATTTCAAATGCTTTTAATCTTAATTATTTTTATTTACTGCGAGAATATGATTGTTCGAAACTCGTACAATACTTAATACTTTCATTATTCACAGTCTGATTTGAACGACCAATAGTCATCAAGATCCGTGATCTCTCGTAATTTTATGAATTATTCGTGTCAGTCGAGTGAACCCATAATTTTTTATTTCTTGACTTCTTATTTCTTTTCAATGTCGAGAATCTTCACACACAATAAGAGGAGTGGAAATAAAACGACATTTTTATGATTCATATGCAAACAAATTTGCTTTAAAAAAAATTAGGCAATTAATTCGATACTTTGAGCCTCGGTTCGGCCTGTAGCTGCCAAACAAATACGCCACAAATCTGCGTTAAAGTGATTAGCTGAGTTCATCAGCTCCCGTAGACAATCCGGTGCCCACTTTTGGAAAAATCTTCTCGTTGGTATCTCGCACAGGTACGGATCACACGCATCGTGATAAATTTTAGTAAATCGGTAATATGTTGATGTCTTCAAGAATTCATGCATTTCATTTAAAGTGATTGATTCTTCTGGTCGTTGCCGAATCAGGTCGTAGAGGGATAGACTCGGCTTTATCATAATTTCTTTGGCTTCTTTCACGAATTCCTCGTCGTCGTATCGACTTTCGTCGAAATTCGCCGTCCTTTTGAAAATTTCGTGCTTAACGAATGCGTTCATGATCGTCATGGCGCCGCTTCGGTCCAGCTCGTATCCTCTTTTTTCCAACCGCTCGACAACGGCCATAGTGTCGTACGCGAATTTCAATTTGAACCAAATAGTACGATTACGATTTCGAAGTTTATATTTCTTGTCGAAGTGACCGACGGTGGGAAAAACGAAGTTCAGCCGCGACAGATCAGCACCGTTGTCCAAGAGAACGTCGATCGTGCTCGGTAATAAACTCGCCACGGCCCATTGAAGGGGTGTACGGCCCGACTTGTCCACAGCGTCGACCTGCACCGTCTTTTGAACGTCATCGATGATCTCGAAGAATAACTTCATTGAGCCGTCGTCCTCGTCTCTCTTGGAAATAATGTGGAGAGGAGTCAATCCTTCCTCGTTGGCCAAATTAGGATCGGCTCCGTTTTTCAGCAGCACCTGGATCATATCTTCGTGTTTACAAAATAGAGCTATGTGTAGCGGAGTATTGCCTTTCTTGTCTCGAGCGTCGATCGACACCGTCCGTCCGATTTCGTCGTTGACCTCGAAGAATACCTCCGCCGTTTCATGGGTAAAGCTGTATTTACGCTTGCAAATCAAATGCAGAGCCGTCGATCCTTCCTCGTCGGTCGCATTGGGATCGGCTCCGTTCATCAGCAGCGTCTTGGTCGAGAGTCGATGGCAGTTTTTCAGCGAGTAGTGCAGTGGGGTTCTACCCCTCTCGTCTCGGGCGTCGACGTTCACCGTCTTCTTCCGAACTACAGCGAGCATCTCGAAGAATAGCTCCATCGTGTCGTCTTCCGTTGTTCTCTTGGAAATCATGTGCAGAGGCGTCGATCCCAAACAGTTCCTCGACTCTAGATCGATGAGCCGCCTTTCTAGCAGCCACTTGGTCATGGTTCTGTGGCCATGAGACAGAGCCCAGTGCAGCGGAGTATTGCCATTCTTGCCTCGAGCGTTGATAAGCAAGGTCTGTCCCTTGTCGTAGTTGATCGCGAAAAAAAGTTTAGCCACGCGGTCGCTTGACCAGGAAACGAGGTGCAGAGGTGTCACTCCCTCAGCAGTGGCTAGATTTGGATCGGCGCCGTTTTTCAGCAGCAATTTCACCACCTTTCTCCGGTTCAATGCCAGGGCTAAGTGAAGCGGAGGCATAACTTGCATACTGAGCCCTTCTTTGTCTTTTTTATCATCTTCTACTTCTTCATCTTCTTTTTCATCGTCATCATCTTCATCATCATCATCATCATCATCATCTTCTTCTTCTTCATCATCATCATCTTCTCCTGCATATTCTTCTTCTTCATCATCATCATCATCATCATCATCTTCTTCTTCATCATCATAATCATCTTCTCCATATCTTTCTCCATATTGTCCATATCCTTCTTCTTTATCATCATCATCAACTTCTCCATATCCTTCTTCTTCATCATCATCATCTTCTTCCTCATCATCTTCTCCTTCTTCATCTTCTTCGTCTTCGCCTATTTGTCTCTCAACTGATATTGGCGCGAGAATATTCGGGTTCTGTCCGAGCTCGAGGAATTTCTGGACGATATCGGCCAAGCCATACTGGCAGGCCACGTGGAAATGTGTATAGCCGAACTCGTCGATGTAATTCACATCGAATTTGTCGTAAATTTTGAACAGATCAAGCACGACTTCCTGATTAAAATTGTATCTAGCCGCATAATGCAGTGGTGTCATGCGATCCAACAGTGGCTTGCGGTCATCATCCATCTCGGGCTCGTCTTTGTAGCCGCATTTTATCACATATTTGATCACAACTTCGTCCATTATACACTTTGAGAGAAGCCAATCCATCTGTTCGGCACGGAACATATTTCGAAAATTCAGATATCCTTTCTGATTTCTAACTAATGAATTAAATCTAGGGGCAAAGTCCTTTTCATCTTTTTCCATATCCTGAATGACCATAGTACGTATACTCTTGAGTTTGTGTAAATATGCGTCAAAGTCGAGTTCGTCGTCGGACATCGTTTCGCACCCGGCACACGGTCGCTTGCAAAGTACGAGGATATATTTTTCTCTTTGGATCACTTGTCGCGGCCGATGCCCGCGATCGACGTATATATACTGACTAAATAGGTGTATCACTGGTACACACTCGATACGATCTGTCGCGCGTACGCGTGCGTGTGTGTGTTTATGTATACAGGTACGAACCAGGCAGGTGAGTGCAGCGATCGAAATAAGAGAAAGAGAGACAGAGATACGCGCAGGCTAGGGGAATGGGGAAACCGCGAATGGCTTTTCGCGCGAAAACAACTCGAAGACTCTGCTTGTGGCACAAATAAATAACAATGAGTGATTATGAAATTTAGGTTTAAAAACATTTCAAACGGCACTAGGCTTTGCTCAAACATTCAAATCCTCATCGTAGCGACGATGCCATCTCTAAAAGTATGACGAGTAGATAAACATTCCAGAATTATACCAGGCCCATCGAAACGCACGTGGATCCCATTCGTCTTCCAAATCTACGTTATAGTCACGGAAAAAACTCGGACTTGATTGTATACGACTTTAAAGTTGGAGACCGACCGCCAGGTGGTGCGTATCCCGCGAAAGTCGCTCGCGCAAGCGGCAAAGTATAGTTCCGAGAATATAAATAGTACATAGGCGCTCTTATATCACTGTTAGACTTATAAATTTTTACATTGTACTGCCAAGCAGTTGTTTCTTGAATTCTCCATCGTCCACGGAAAAGTCGAAAAAAACGATATAGAAATATTCGTATGGCACGCGATCCGGGGTCTGTACGCAAACATCAAACTCGTACATACATTATATTATACCTGCAATAATTGACTGGATACGCGTGACACTTTATATACATCGCGGCCGAATCACGCAATTCCCCCGCGCGCGCCTCGCATATAGACGATGTAAGTGCGCGCGCGGGAAAATGAGCGCGATATTATACGTATTATATAATGATAATGATGATACATCACGCGTGCGTCGCGCGCACGTGTGCAACACAGCAGCAGCCGAGAGAGAGAGATATTTGATGGAACTCGAGCTTGCGCGAGCTTGCAGCGGGGCGCTATATTATACACGCGCCGTGTACATACGTGTGGCAGCTATATACCCGAATATCCTCGGTGGAAGGCTCGTCACAATTCGTATTATATATGCTATAATATGCGAGACTGTATATAGTGTAGTAGTGGCAGCGGCACACAGTCCGTAGTAGTAGCAGTAGATATAGTTGTCTGTCAGTAGCAGCTCATCCGCAAGCTCTCGCTTGTATTATATATATACCTACATATCTGATGATTCTATCTTCATTAAATGCCGTCCGCGTATTATGCACTGTATATATGTACGTGTGTGTGTGTGCGCTAGACACAGCCGAGCACCCCGTGCCATAACGAGTGTCGTACGTTTCGGCTTTGTCCTCCTCTCTCTCTTGGGCTTAAATTCGATGTGCTGCTGCGTATGCCGCCGCCGCCGCCGCGTCTCGCTGGGGAGCAAACGAACAACCAGATATTATATATATCTGTATGCAGCCAGCGCGCACGAATGTCAAGAGTATATATGAACGTTGCCCAGCGCTGTGCAGTCTATAGGCTCTCTCTCTCTCTCTCTCTCTCTCTCATTCTCTGACGGCCGATGGATAGTAATGAGCTATATTATTCTTCTCTGCGCTTATTGTACCGAATATAGACGGGCGGAAAACGGCCATTTGCGTTGTTGTATACACGACGAATAATGTTGCGTGCCCCAAGCTCGCTCTCTCCCATCCATTTCGTCCGCGCGCGCATGAAAAATCAGCCGCGATTGATTTTTCTCGCTCGCTCGCTCGCGGACTCTTTTCATCGTTCGTATAGCGGCTGACGAGTTATTTTTTTTTTACTCTCCTATATTTATCGCGTTGGTACGTGTGCCGCATCGATATGCGGACGCACGCGGCGCTGTAAACAAAATTTGAAACGTTTGCACGGATGTGTAATCATCGAACGCGAATATCGAGTTATTGTTAAAATTGTTTATTTTAAAGATTAACAATATACCATGAAAAAAGAGAGCTTTATGAAACATCGAAAATAGAAAAATGAGTCGCAGCAGCATAACAATTACTATGCATCTCTCGAGACAAGAGTAAATAGTATACGAAACGATCGGGGATGATATTTCTCATCGCGTCGATTCGAGCCGAGGCAAGGCCAAATTTTCACACACACACATACAAAAAAAAAAAGAAAAAAAATTAGCGAGCTCGAAACGCGTCCGATATACCGCATGGCCGCTGCTACTGCTGCAGTAGTCGTGTTGTGTGCGGCTCTTTACCGGATCAATTTTTTCATTCAATTCTCCTTTCATCCGCTACGTGTAGCAGGGACAGAGCGAGAGCGATATAGAGTATAGAGGTCAGAGCTTGATGCATACACACACACACTCACTCACGCATATATCTAGGTGAGTGTGTGGATATGTTGTTTCAAGCGAAACAAAAGTGATGCACAACCACCACCACCACCACCACACATCCAGTCACCGAATTGATTGTCCACGCCCAATCGAGTTTCGATATATATATCGAGTCTTTACCCTATACCCTTCCCCTCCACGTATACTGGCGCAAGAATGACTATTTTTAGCCGTGGAAAACACTGCATAGTGCGCGCGAAGTACAACGGGGGGGGAACATTCGGTGTTTTACAACGCGAGCCCCACTATAGCGCGCACACGTACGCGAGCGAGCGACAGGCAGCAAATTTTTCGATTTTTCACGAAACAAAAAAAAAAGAAAGAAAGAAAGAAAGATAGCCTACATAGCGTGACACAATACTACATGCTAGTATATTTGCTTTTTATTCTCTCTCTCTCGCTCGCTCGCGACTTGTCACGCCTTTTTGAAAAGCAATTACGGAATATTTCGGAATTTGTTTTCTTTTTAGCTGCCGAGCGTGCTGCTGCTGCTGCTGTGTTCGCCAGTAGCGCTCATTGCGCGATACATACACGATACAGCACAGGAGCGACGATCGACGCGGCTGACACATATATTTTCGATACACCATTTCATCGCGCGTGAAATGTGAGCAAAAAAAAAAGGAAAACCTTCTATACTACATGTACCTTTAATTTACATTCAAATTGAAAATTCGAGTCTCTATATACGCGCAGCCAAGATCGTGGTTCGATTAGCTCGCTAACGGCGCGAATAATAATTATTTCTCATTGGGAGCGTTACGAATAATTGCGAAAAAAAAGGCCGAGCTGACCTTCGCGCTACGATGAGTCGTGGCGCCACGGAGGTAAATTACGTACACGTCGTCGTAGCGCCGCGAGCTTTTATCGGTCTCGTGTGCTTTATACGCGCGATGTGCTGCTCGGAGGGCTGTGTGAAACTTTTCCTAAAGAAATTCCATTTTGTGTACAGGGGAGTTTGTGCCGCGAGATGGCGCAGTCCCAATAAAGTCGTCCGCGCAAGTGGTAAAGCGCTTTTAGGGATAGAAGTAGCATACTATAGTACAATAGTAGCATACGATAGAAACTGACAACTGTACAGAGCAATTACTATATAATCTAATTAATAGGAAAAGCGAGCTAAATCTAAGAAATAAACTTACACTATATAAAGCTATAATCAGACCAACTATCACGTATGCATAATCTGTCTGGAGCTCTACTTGCTCTACCAATATCAAAAAACTCCAAATAATACAAAATAAAACTCTAAGGATGATTACAAAAGCCAAATCGCGCTCAAAAAACCTAGACATTCATAACAAATGCAACAGTAGACAAAATTAAAACACATATATATACACCTTAACTAAAAACTTCTTTGAACATCAAATTAAAAACCATGAAACATTAAAAAACCTTGGAAAGTACAATAAAACAAACGCCCCCTTTAAAGTGAAACATAAGTTACCACATCACATATTAATTACATGAAACAAAAACTTATGGCTCTCAACCAAGCAATACACCAAATCTTTGTTTCAAGATAGTTGAACGTTACTAAACGTATTGTATATAGTTAGATCAAGAGTATTTATTAGTTTTATGGCAGATTATTGATATGGTTTTTTCAAAAAATATTTATTTTCTCCATAATCTTAAAATAATATCAACAAATGTAAATAAATTCAAAAACTAGCCACAGCAAGGCTAAAGCAAATATATACATTAACAATTACGGCTAGTGGTAACATGGGCGCCCTACACTATCTACAAAAATTTTGTACATTGCTTTAAATCGTGCTG